TATATATATATATATATATTTATATTAATTATTTATGATTTGAAATTGGAATTTGTCATTGGGATGTTGTCATGAAAGACGTGAGTCACGGGTGTAGTAGGCTGAGAAATTGGGCTTTATATTTACAATTATTTGGGCCGAAATTTTGTACAATACATATAGAGGAAATTACATCCTCCACTACAAATTAATATTTTTATTACATACTTAGAATTCATATATATTTATTTGTAAATTTACTGTAATTATGATTTTTATTTACAAACTTACTAGACTATTGATCAACATATAATTATTTCTAGATATGGTAAAAACAGATTTAATGGGAGTTATAATTATCTCTCTCTCTCTCTCTCTCTCTCTCTCTCTCTCATCTTCGTCTTCTTCATCGGCAGGTCGTTGTTCTCCTCCCCAAGTGATGATAGGCTTCAAATTAACTGTGAGCTCAGACAAAACAATCTCATGAATTCGCACAAATTTCATCCGTGCTCAAGGAAAAAACGACCCCACCATTAAAAACCCTAAGTTTTTCCTCTCTCTTCTTCACCATGGTTTGGAATCAATCGAGGATTAAGTGGCTTCACCCCAACACCATCGCCATGGATTTGCAAATGTTTATTTTCGTTCTCCTTATCTTTTTTTCGTTTTGAGAATTTTTGTTGTTCTTAGTCTTGTTTGTTTGTTCACTAAATTATTAGGTTTGTTAAGTAATTTTGGTGAGATTAGTGATGTTATTTGCTGTTAACTTTGTGATCATATGCCGTGAATTTCTTGAACTTAGTATCTGATACTATTGCCTGTGAACGATTGATTAGCTAATTTGTATGGTAACTTGAAATTATTTCAGATGACTATAACTGTTGTTTTGGGGGAGGCCTTCGGTCCCAACAAGGGTGCTTGATACGGTTGCACCAGTCCAAGCACAACAAGAAACATGTTATATGATATAGGATATTATATCGGATAGGGTTAATGGATAAAGCGAATACATATGGAAGAATAAGTCCACTAAGACATCTAAGCATAACGATATGGGTCAAGCCTAACTTGGGCTCAAAAGGTACACTCTCCCTATAAAAGGGGGCTAAGGTATCTCATTCTCTCCATTCTCTATTCATTTGATTACTACATTTTCTCTCTCTGGATCGAGCACTAACTTAGGTATCGGAGGCCCGACGCCGGGGCCACCCCCCGACGTTGGGTTCTTGCAGGTACGGAGGCCGGTCGAGCTAGAGGAGCCCGGGTGAAATCTATTTCCCTTCATTGGCGCCGTCTGTGGGATGCGTCAAAAAAGTCAAGCGGAGTTCTGACTGAAAAAATGGAAAACCTCCTTCTTCTCCGTCGGCCGCCACCGCCGCCGGCCATCGAAAAACGTGCTCCGATCAGAAAATTGCTTACATCATCGGATAGATCTGCTCAAGGTGAATCTGCCCTTAATATTTCATGCGAAAATTCCTTCGAGAAGACCTTCAATTTCGCGGTCAAAGTTTCCAGATCTAGCATGAAATCGATCAAAATCGAACATTCAAATGCATTTTCCCAACGATCCGGGAGGGCTATAAGAAATCCAAAGGTACCACCGGGATCCTCTCGACGAGACGAATCTCCAGTTGCAGACCTTACCCGTGTTGGTGTTATATACTTAAGCTTTGCTTTAGTGGATATTACACTTGTTATTCCTTGATGAATGAGAATTATGTTTGGTTAAATAAGTTCCACGTTCTGTTGTTTT